TACCCTTCATCTCTTCCTTGTTCTTTCCGTAAAGAGTTGGGTCAGACGCTTTTGTGGCTTGCCAACTATGTTGGCACATTGTCACAATCCTAGAAAGTTTACTCCTAGATGTACAGTTTGACCGTAACAGGCAGGGAGGTAAAAAGTTAAAACACTCTCAACCATGGTTTTGGACACTAGTTCTAAAATCTGCTGACTAACACTGAGGCCACTAAGTTTCCAGAGAAGATAGTGTTTCAGTGCTCATACAACCAACTTTGTAAATATACAACCAGTTTCTATCATCCCTCCAATGTGATGGGAAAGCAGCATCAAAACAAAGGACATTGCCATCAGCCTCATCCGTACCTTCTTTGTTTTTAGTGCTAATTAGCCATTGTTAGCATGCTAACACGCTTAATAAAGATGGTGACCATGGTAAACATTATGTCTGTCAAACGTCAACATATCAGCATAGTCAGTGTAATGATAGCATGCAATAGCATTTAGCTCAACTGTGTATAAAGTGCAGCCTCACAGAGCAGCTAGCATTGTTGTAAACTCTCAGTTCAGACTCTGTGGTCACATTTAAACCATTTCACCTATGTTACTGACACGTAGACCATGTATTTTCAAGGCCACAAAGTCGTCTTGCATCAAGGGCCTCTGATGTACAGACATTTGTGTTAACCATCCTTTTTTTTAGCATAACCATCTATAGCTATTGTGCCACCAATTCTGCACTGAAATAGTACAGACGAGTACTTTGGCATGAACATACAGACCAGCTGCTCTAAAGCAGGGTGTCTTTTGTCCGCTCTCACTCATCAGTGAGACAAAGGGCCAAAGGGTGTGTGCATCCTTAAAACAAATACAATTTAGAGCTGTGAAAGTCAGTAAGGAGGATTCTGGGATTTTTATTGCTGATGAAATAAGAATAACAACCATTCATTAGCCAGAATGTTTTTTAGACAAAGGTTTTATGCCTGCAAGACTTTTCATTTTGTCCTGATGTATTACTCTGTTTTGCATTAATTCAGTTGTGAAGCCACTGTATATCTTCACAGAAATATGAGACTGTCTGTGTTGTCAGTGTCATCAGTGGGGTTTGTTCCATGCAGGTTTGGAGATGCTGCACCAAGGTTGCACATGTTTGAGTGAAAAGAGTTCCAACAATAAGAAAAACTGACGTCATTATTGTGAACTGAATGCAGACTTGCTTTTAGTGAGCAGTCAAGGACAGACATATTAAAGAGGAATAAAGCAATGCCTGAATCAGGATGAGCATTAAGTAACTAAGGCACAGAAGCAGCTATAAATAAATGCCTTCTTCAATGGCATGACTCATCTCTTCTCTTTTCTTTTCTAGGCATCAGGTGTTGAATTGAACTCTAATGTCGTGGTGTCAGAGATGCCCCTGAAGATCCACTACTATTTGTGGAAAAAAAGACCAAAAGAATTCTACTCAAATTTCCAGTATTTACTCCAGATACAGACACATTTTCAGTTCCAGCAATTCTTTTCACAGTCTGGGGAAAGGAGCTGGAAACGAGATGAGGACAGTATCCAAATGACAGGTGAAAATATGACCACACATGTAAAACAGATGTGTATTCATAGTCAAACACTGTTTGCCAAGAGAGCATAGTCATCTATTCAGTACACAGAGGGAGAGGCAGAGAAAAAGGAAGCTGGCAAAGTCTGTGACGCTTCACTTTATGATGCATGGGTGTATTACGTTGGTCAGTGCTGGCAACTTTTTGTAAAGACGTAATCAGAGGATTAACTGCTTCAGTGTTGAGTGTCGTCAGGTGATCTGGACCTGAATCTGACAGGTCATGAGATGATTATCAGGAGGAGAAAGGCAGTGCCATACAAAACTATTTTACTTTTTTTTGTTACTTTTCGCCCATCTTGTGAAAGCTGAATAGACTGACATCATCAGGCCAGTAGTCATTATAATAAAAGAGAATGGGAAATCTTGTCACAGTCTCTATAAATGCAGCATGACTCAGCCTGAAGCCATATCTCATTCATGACTGTATCATTCTGATTGGCAAGAGGAATCAGTATCACACCATGATAACAAAGAAGTAAACCTACTTTGTTTGGAAATTAAAGTAAGAGATTAAGAGACAGGGCCGACTCAGGAACCATTCATTAGTGTCTTTGCAGCGGTGGGAGAAGTGGTCTAAACAGAAAAGATAACACCACAGCATAGAAATGCACTGCTGCAAGTAGAAGTCCTGCAAGAATATTGGTTTGGATACTGCTGATACTTTAAATGTCTTTTAAGTATCAAAAGTAGAACCACTCAATATGCAGAATGGGCCCTGTCAGTCTTAATAACAGATATTATTGATTTTCTGCAATTGATGCATTAAAACAGCATTTTAAAACAGATGGTCGAAGTGAAGCAAATTGTAACTTATTCTGTTTGGTAGTTTAATCAATAACAATGCATTATATTTCATGAAGTGATCATATATACCTCATATGTAACATCTTGGAGCACCTGCACACCCATAGTCCACCCACACAGGTGTTTTCACTTGTTGCCTAATCAGACCTCTTTTCAGGACTGTGCGGGTCTGTACTGTACATACTATGCTCGAGGCCACGTCTATATGTATACAGATATTTTTTTAAACAGGCCCCTCGTCCACACTCAAACTAAGTTTTGGGTCACTGAAACAGAGATTTTTCTAAAAATGCCTTCTGAGGTGAAGATTTATCAAAACTATGGTTACAGTTCATCTGTATGGATGTGTTAAACGGAGCATTTGGGAAACAATGATGTCATCTCCTCAATACATGCATGCCCATTCTTGATTTGTGTAGAGAGCAAATGCTCGAAACAACAGCAACAATAGTGGACTACTGGTTTGCTAACGTTTTGTTGGCACTGGTTGATCTAATGACTACTTTACACCACTTCGTGGATGAATGGAGACCTCTGCTGCACGCAATGTTTTTGCCCCACCTCAGCATCCGTAGCTTCCAACCAGCAGATGGTGGGACAGAGTCTGATTGTTGTCACTGAGGAATGGAAAGAGAAGTTTAGTATGTCCAGAGTGTTACTTGTATGTTTTGAGTGAGCTCCTTGATTCTTATGTCAAAGGGGAATAAATGATGACGACCTCTTAAGTTGGTGTTCTGACAAAGGTATTATTAGTCTGTGCAGTGTCACCTTTGTGACAAGGGGAGACTGTTGAAAGCAGTGACAGCACCAGTCACTGGTGAGCACTTTGCATTTCTGTGTGGACAGAAATACTTTGTAAAATGAAGGTTGTGTGGACAGAATCATTTTTTAAACCGGAGGGGAAAAATATCTGTTTACGAAAATATTTGTCTGTCATGGGGTGTTGGAGTAATTGGTAAAATGAGGTGCCGACAGGGAAGATTCACATGAACGCCCCTTCAGGTTGGAACAATAACTTGAGAGTTGACGAGTTGGCGTCATAAATTCAGAAACATGGGCGATCAAAGTAAATGCTCAGTTGATGGCAACAAACATTTATTAATTCACATATTGCATGTCCATTTTTTGCTCACATGTAATTTGTGATCAGGTATTGTCCATGTAGGGTGACCTTGATTAGTTATAAATGTTATTTATTTGCATTAGTCAATTGAAGCAACATTTTAGTAGTTTTGGGGGATGTATACTGGTGCAGCAGCAAGTCTGGGACAATATCCTTTTGTGATATAAAGCTTCAAACTGTTATCAGCATGTGGTTTATTGCTCTAAGCAATAAAATACAAACATCTTCTTTGTAGGGTCCATGTTGTTTCCACACTACCACTTAAAGCTCATGAATAAACCATAGCTGGAAGAACAGCTTCACAAAGATGGTACCATCAGAGGAGCACATGAATGCAGCATGCCATTTAGTTGTAACTGTGAGGGCGGGACATCTAACACTGTTCACACCACCATCAGTGTTAAGAGTCTATGGCATCACATGACTTCCAGCATAGCTCCACCATGTGTCACACCTAACTAGAGGTCCAATCTGCCATATTGAAAACCTCTGTTTGCAGATCCTTTTATTAGCAAAATAACTGTAAGTGTCAAATTAATTTAGTAGAGTTAGTGGTACAATATTTCCCTCTGAAATGTTGTGAAGAAGAAGTGTATGGCAGCATAACATGGAAATACTCCAGTAAATTACAAGTACATCAAAACTCTACTTCAGTAGAGTACTTAAGTAAATGTACTTAATTTGATTTCACTGCTGGGCGTTTGACCCCTTACTACAAAGCAGGGAAGCTGTGACTAGTTAAATTAAAGATTGATTTTCCCTGCTCAAAAAGTTTGATATGAAGAGGTAAAACTGTACAGTATTCCACAAGAAATAACCTTTAAAAGGGTCAGATTGTTTTATTTTTCTTAGTTATCATCTTTTGATCTCTAGGTATTCCATTAATTATTTTTTGAGGTATGCTTTGTTACTTTTTATGTCTACTCGGCTAGATTTTAGAGAATGTTTTACTTCACCACATTTGTTTGACAGTTACTTTTCAGATTAAGATTTCACAGACAAAACATATGATGTGTTTGTAAAATATTGTAAAATTAGTGCCACATCAACCAACAACATTAAAGTAACACTGACATGTGAATGCATCAAAGATAATACAAAAGTGAAAGCAGTCAACCTGCGTAATAAACTTTTACTCTTGTACTTCTGTTGCCAATACTTGTGTTATTTTACTCAAGTAAAATTCAGAATTATGAGCTTCTACTTGTATAGAGTATATTGTGTGGTATTGCTACTTTTTGTGGAGTAAATGATTTTAAAATATCTTCCACTATTGGTTTTATGTGAGTGCTGACTTAATGGCGAATGCAAATAGTTTCAAATAAATTACTACTATTGTACTAAATATTAAAATGAACCATGTACATTTTGGAGTGCAGGTAAGTAAAACGTCTCAACAGGACACTGCTGTCACCTGGTGGTCATAAATCTTAATAGAAAAATGCTGCTTATTTCCTATTGGCTGATGAAATATGACGCAACGTGAGCAAACAAGGAAATGAAACCAACGTAGTTTAAGCTTTTATTTTCAGTTTATGACCACACTGCAGGTGTGCCAGTCTTTTACCTGCTAGTTTAACTGGTAAGTCTTACTTCACTTATGTGACCCTTGTCTAATTATTCGTCAAAAGCATACAACGTACAATGATAATTCCTGTGTATACAGTAGTTTACTTTGACCTGTGTTGACCATATGTTGTGTATGCTTTCCTTTCATAGACACAGATATGAGTGACCTTCCTGTAAACCCGCTGGTTTTGATTGGCATCGGGTCCAGCTTTGCCTTCTCTGGCCTTTTCTATAAGTTATACAAAGAAAAGAAAGAAGAGTTGAAAAAGCTAAAGGCAAGTACTGTATTGCTTGAGGGCTGTTACGATATTCACACAGCTCTAGTCTTTAAAAAAATGCTCATGCAAGTTTTATTTACACCTTTGTATTACAGGAAATACCCATTTTCAAGCCAGACCAACATCTGGTCAAAATCCTGAGAGCATCTCCCCACAAGCGACTTCAGTATGTTGCTGTCGAAGGTACAAACATGCCAATGTACATTTTAGTCAATTCAGTTTTAAATGGGGTCAGTCACAGATATTTTACTGTTTCTTTTGAATTTGTTTGGAGGTCTGGTCCAGGCAGATGGGGAGCCACTGGCCAGTCAGTTTGTCCCACGATGCTTTGGTGTGATTCAGAAGATAGCAGTGGAGGAGCACTGGAAATACTGGAACTCCCTCACCAAGACATGGTACATTAGCCTACAGACTAAAACAATAAGTGTCTCTTTATCAATCTCCTAGTCTGTTCATAACAGTTTGATTACTTTCCCAGGAATTCTCGGACAACGAACAGGAAAGAAACCAACAACACAGTGCCCTTCAGTCTGGTCAGCCCTGGAGCCTATATCACTGACTTGTACGTGAAGATTCAAAACCCTCTGGAGGCCTCTGGGTGCGACTTGGAAAGGGTTTATTTCAAAGTAAGGCGTGCTGAGGAGGGCTTGGTGAATGTGATGATGCAGGGCATCAATGGGGAGAAACCAGTGGCGATGGAGGAGAGTGAGGAGCTGCTGCGGGTGGGGAGCACCCTGACTGGTTTTGGTGAGGTGGTACTGGAGGGGGGGCAGGTGATGAGGCTGCAGGCCCCGCAGGACGGCCGCAAGTTCATCCTGGTGCCCACTGACTACAGGAGCTTCATGGACAGGCATGAGAAAACAGCCAGCATGTGGAAGGCGCTGACTGCTGTGACTGGCATCACAGGGGCTTCTCTTTTAGCCAAGGTGATCTATGGTTTGGTGGGAAAACAGGATGACAAATCAAAGTAGGATTGAAGATACTGCAGGTTTAACAGCTTAAAATGCTGTTTGGGAGTCCCAGTACTGCCTCAGGTGTTTTATCCTAAATTCCATAGCCCTGTCCTGATGCTAATATATCTCAATTCATTGATGACAGGTATTATCTTGTCACATTGCAATATACATCAAAGACTACAGTGGTCATGAGGGGCAAAACGCATAATTGGACAAAACTGATTAGGGAAAAAAGAAAGCACAGCAATTCAGAGGAACACATTGACAAATTAGATAACACAAATGAAAATGCATAAATGTCAGAAAATACATGAACAAATAAAAAAAAGGACATTTTATGAAACAGAAAAGGCAGTGACAACAATTTTTGTAGCACTCACGTCAATTATGTATTTTATAAACTGTTGTGGGTCCTAAAATATTTGTTTTCTGAAATGTTTAAAATTTGTTTGACATATTATATGCAATGTTCTGTTTTGCCCCTCAGGGCCACCACACTTAATGGACCACTCAAAGGATGTTAAGCTGTTTTGTCATTTTCCTCTATTGTACAAGAATTCTGTGTACTCAAATCCTGCACCTGATGATGTGAGCAAAGGCAGAGTGTAGCAGTTTAGTCTGGGGATTTTTTTTAGAAGGTATTTGCGCCTAAAACTTTCTGTGTAGGAGGGATGAATGAAGCCTTGCTACAAGATAAATTCCTTGTAGGTCTAACGATGTACAGTCACACGTCAAGCTATGACAACTACACATTTGCTTAACACCTGATCATGTGGCCTCTATCTCCAACTTCTTCTGCAGTCATTAGGCCATAATTATTCCAAAAAGTATGTGACAAGTGATTAACACCTCAGAGGATCATGCATTTAATGCAGGATATTTGACTTTATTAGATTTATTAACTTTAGAATTTAAACAATTCAAAGCTACTTTATCATGGGGACGTTTAATTTTTGTAATGAAAGTGTATTTTTTATAATTTACAATAAAATCATTAGTTTAAGAAGGTATGTGGTGTTAGCCATCTTTTATTTTCACAATCTTTTACTTTTGATTGCAAGATTTTAACTGTGAGCCTGATCAAACAAACTACTTACATGTCATCAGTGTCAGTCCAAGTTTCCAGTCACCATGTCCACACAGGATGGAATTAAAATCCAATAAGGTGATTTGGACTGAATCTATTTAGCGGATATAATCATCTACCTCTTAGATTTTTATGTTCTTGCTGTATTGTTTGTTTACTGTTCAATGTGTAGACAAAAAAGGACACTTAACACTGTGGTACCTAATCTTTTTAAAGGGATGTGGTGTTTGTATTTAATAAAACCTCTTTTCAAACCTTGAAGCAACTGTTTAATTATGATTGAGATATTTTGTGTTGTCAGAAGAGTGAGACAGATGATGATTTCCAGGCAGTCTGAGGGTTCATTATTTATTTTGACATTCATAGCACACAGTCCTTACAAAACCTGGCACTGTGTGATATAATGTATATGTCAGTTTTAACTGTACAGAGAAGGTGGATATTAGTGGCAGAAAGCTGCTGCAGAGGGTAAAATCAACTGCCTGAATTTGTTTATTCACACAACAGATTTTAAGTTTTACATAGTCGTCTTTGTCCTTTTTGAAGTGCTAGTCATTATTCCCCTTCTCCTTCTGAAGACTCCTCAGCCTCCTCCAACCACTGGATGAACTTCTGAAGCTGTTGAGGATAAACATAAGGGACAGGGCTGTGAGAAATCCATTATTCGGAGAAGTGATGGGGAAAAAAAACACAAATACATGAATGAAAGGGAAAAAAGTTAATTGAGACCTTTCTTAATTGCAAACTGAGTTGTGATGTAATGTATTTACATAAAATATGTAAAATTTGGGGGCGTCAAGGATTTTATTTACAGCAGTATACACATCTGCTGAGAGGCCAGATGACTGAATACACTCCTCTCAGTCAAAACAATAACTGTATCATTACATCAGTGTTACAATGTTATTCCCTATAGTATTTAGATATTGTAGAAAAAGGGATTTATTTTTCTTTTCTTTTATTTTAAAGGTCCAGCATGTAAGATTTCGCAGGATTTAGTGGCATCTAGTTTGAGGATTGAAGATTGCAACCAGCTTAAACTTCCAGGTTAGAATTCCTTCAGTGTTTGTTGTTCAGGAGGTATTTGCCTGAAGCTGAATTAGCTGCAGAGATCTGCTGCTCTCCAAAACAAAGGAACCAGATGATTGAAACCAGTAAAAACACTGAATAAAGCAATTTCACGTTAAAAAAGATCTGTGTTTTTCCAAAGCTCTTGTTGCAGAGGGGCCGTTAACTACAATGGCCAATGTAAAAATGTGAATTGCCCTATCTAAAGCCAGTGTTTGGTTTGTCCATTCTGGGCTATTGTAGACATATGACAATGCAACATGTCTCTGTAGACAAGGACTTGTTTTCGATGTAGATATGTTATTCTAAGGTAACCAAAACATAACAATTCTCATTATCAGGTGATTACACATTTAAGAAAACATACTTATTATATTACATTCAACTGCCAATATATCTTCCTAAATCCTACACGGTGGACCTTTAACGTAAGTGGTTTTTTTCCTTGCAAGTCTGGTTTTGTCTTCCATACATAGTTTTGGTTAATTAGTAAAAGGCCCTGATAAAAAGCAAAACTATTCATGTTGATATCCAGTCACAGTAGTTAAACAGCAGTGACTTATCGCAGTGTTTCATCATTTTTTGTCCATTCTTTTTAAAAATTTGATTCAGCTTAATTTTAATATTCCTCAACATTGTCTTAAGGTAATCCTTTTTTTAATGCATTTTATTCTATATCTAAATAATGTATTTCTTAGCATTCAAAGAAGGATGAACCATAAGCCAGATTGTGTTTAATGAACTCTTATAACTTATTGCTCTCCATATTCAAATGTTTTACTTCTGTTGTCATGGTAGCACATCTAGCACTCATATTACCCATCATCCAAACTTCGACCCTTTATCGTGTAATTGTGAAATCATGTCATAAATAGTGTCTTATGAGACCCAAATATCCCTGTACCTACCCCCTGATTCTTGCGGAGCTGTCTGCTTTTGTCAGTGGTGGCTCCCTGGGAGAACCAGCGCAGTATCATCTCCTCCTCCAGGATCTCCAGCTGGTACATATTCATCAGGACCTGGATGAAGAAAAAAAAACACAGCATTGTTAGTATCAGGTACAGTCAAGGCTTGATGAACACAGAACCCACCAGAATTACATGGTTCCTGATGTTGGATTCCCACCATCTTTCCAATCAACCTTTGAATGAGTCAGCAGATTATTGAGCATACATAGTAGTGTGGATTGACCCTGACCTTGACCATAGCAGCCCAATGACTCTCCTGGTCCAGGAAGTGTTCCTCAAAGGCAGACAGACAGTCTAGTTGGTCCTGAGCTCTCTTCACATAGTTCTTAAATACAGGCGCCCATTTCTTCAGCAACTAAGAGGAAGACAAAGACAAAAATGTGAACTAAAAGTGAGGATCTTTAATTCTATCATGTCTACACATACGTAAATGTGTAAAACATATTTACCGGTAGGAGCAGAGCGACATATTGTGATGTGGTAAGGTGTGGGCCCTGCTGCTGGAAAGGATACTCCAGCACCACTCTTGTTAAAATCTGCATCACCTCCTTCAGAGTGATGTTGTAGGCATACCTGAAGAGAAAGAGTGTGTCCAACTGAATGCGTAAAAACAATCTGACAAAGAGCAACAGAACTGCAGTTCTTAAGTTCCTCCTTACTTGAGAGAGTTGATTTCGAGTACAAGATTGTCAAAGCTGATGTTTTCCTCCAAACCTCTCTGAAGAGTCCCAAGCACCTCCATCTGGAAGACTACACAAGATCAGACCAAAGAATAAGAGTCAGGAAGAAGGACGTCTCACCCCAAAGACACAACAGGGAGGGTAAAGTCCGTACACTTTATTTTGACATTTTATAAACAATTAGGACATACAAAATAGTCACCAGACTAGTCTGTGATGCAAATTATAATTATTGGCAGCCTTTAAGTGATTAATACATTCCGCTCTGGTTTGTAATATATTTGTAGAACACTGACACGTTATCAAATTTCAGATGTTCCGTCTGAAAGACACATGTCAATTTTGTGAGTGTAATCAGATTAAGGATGATAGGAGAATTACAATCAGTACTGGTTTTGCTGTTGGCATTTTGCTTTGGCCAGTAGGCAGAAGTCAAATTGTTCAAAAGACATTAACAACTCTCACCTTTGACATCGTCCATCTCGGGGGAGGGGATCACTGGATCATCAGGATCATCGGGCTCACTGTCCTCACTTTCACTCTCGGGGTCAGGGTTCAACACCAAACCTGTTTCACAGGACACAAAGCCAGGCTGTTGGGACATGGACCACAGCATCATGGGAAATGGTAGTTTTACGATGATGAACTCAACAAGCCGGCCACACTGCTGTCCTACCCCAGAGACACTGCGACAGCTCTTCATCCTCTGTGTCATCCAGACTGCTGGCCTTCCAGATGTAGCCTTTGCCTTCTGCTCCAACCTCTTCTGGGTTAAACACTGGAGGGCAGAAGACAACAGCTCATTACCACAAACATTTAAGCATTTTGTCCAATCATATATATGTCAGTACACAGGCAATACACACCTTTCAATTTGGTTTTGTCTTTGCTTTGACCAACCTCAGCATCGTCACTCAGGAATTCATCATCGTCCTCCTCTTCCTCCTCATCTGGATGGTGCATGGACACCACAGTGCCCTCAGGTAGAGAGATGTTTGGTCCAATCACCACCTTGAAAAAAAGTTCCCAGAAAATTAAGCAATGAGATAGAGACAGTAATTGATTCCACCAAATGGCACATAGAAAGCGGTGGATTAAAAAAATCTTTCTCCGACAGAGTAAAACGTATATGTGCTGTACCAAAAAACTGCAGGACTCAGCAGCAATGGTCAAATCTGCACAGTGTTACATGACTGTTAACATATACAGTCCTCAAAATGTCTTCTATTAGCTCTTTGCACAAACTTAATTATCATGCAAAGTTCTTTAGTGCAGCATTAATTTCAATAATCACTTATGTGTCATTAGAAGTGTGTAGCAGTGTATTAATCTGCATAGACTCTGCCCTCTACCTGTACTTTTTAGTTCTTCTAATTCTGCTGTGTTCAGGATGTCCTAGGGTGTGAAGCCCCCAGCCAATAACAGCACAGAGGTAAGGTCTGGACTTTAAAAAGGTAGCTACCATTTGGGGGCAGCACACAACAAAGAGGAAACTATGAAAACTGTGAGCACAGTGCAGAAAAATGCATATACAGCATACCAAATGTCAAGCACAGCAAAGCTCCAAAACGATAGTGAATCTGGATTGACTTTCACTGACATATTTTCTGGCCAACACTGAAGGAGAGGATAAAGAGCAATGCAGAGTTGGCCCTTTTTCTGTTAGCTTGCTTAAGTACTGGTTTTTCAATACAACAAATGCAAGCCAAGTTGGAATGTTGTGGTTACAAACGGTAACAGAATAATTCCTGCAATGTATACCTTTAAGGAGTTAAGTGGGGCATCGAAAGGATTTGAAGTATCAGCTAAAATGTAAGGACTGAAAGCAGTACACAGTCAATTAAAGGTTAATCACTACAATGAGCCGACTTTCAGTTGAAGTGAAAGTGTTGAAAAAAACAATTGAACTGTTAACTGTTGAGCTTTAATTTATAGATACAGGATGGAAAAAGTGAAAATAAGAAAGTAAGAAGTAAGAAGTGAAAGCAGCTGATGGTTAAGAGGTCACATTAGGTGTAATCTCAGTGGAGGCACTGGAGACATGTCTAGTGTGTGCATGCAAAGATTTTCATTGATCTTTAACATGGAGAGTAGTTCTGCAAACTCATAAATGTGATCGATCAGCTTTCAGCTAATTACAGTAAAGATTAAATGATGAAAATACACGCATTGCTTACGTTATACGCCAGGACACACTGTTTATTCAGTGTCACACCTTCTTTAACCTCAGCCTTGTCGCAGACCACAGACTGGCTGATCTTCACCTTGCTGGCAATGTGAACATTATTCCAGATGTAGGCATGGTCCAGAGTGACATTGTCACCTGGTCCGATAAAAAAACGGACAGTTAATACCACTTTTATTAGGTACTTGTATAAAATCTCTACTTTCAAAGACACACAAATTAGTACTTTTGGCTTTGTATACTGATAGTTTTTAGATGCTCACCTATGGTGCAATTGTTACCAATGACACTGTTAGAAATGTAACAGTTAGCACCGATGCTAGTGCCACAGCCGATAAGCACATTCTCCTCCATCTGGCT